ATTTCAAGGTTTCCCTTCCATATTTAGAAGAATATCTCGTTTAGATTTCACTGATTGGATTTACGTGGGCGACGAAGGAAAAGTTAAGGCGAATTACTTGTTTAGGAATGGGTTGTTTTGTGATTTAGAAATTAAATTAAACGAAGAATTAATAATTAGGAAAATTAACTGATCAAAATCAGCCAAAAAAACACCTGGATATAACATCCTCCTAAATTGCTCTACCTTTCGTAAATAAGTCGACCCCCTATAACGCTGTTGATAATTCCGTTTTATATGAATTCCATGTTGTACGAGTCACTTAGATTTTACAAATACGTGAGCCGTTCACAGCCCGGCACACATATTTGTAAAATCTAAGTGACTCGTACAACATGGAATTCATATAAAACGGAATTATCAACAGGGTTATAGGGGGGTCGACTGTACTTTTATTTTATTCTTTCCGCTCTGTGAATAGTGAGAGAGAGCCTTTTTTCAAACCTATTGTGAATTCGGCTAGGCCTAGGCCTATAATGGGGCTACCGGGTGAGGGAAAGCGCCCGATATCCCGAAAACTTCCTGAGGCTTTTCGAACTGTTCATATTTGATCCCGGATCTGCTGATCGGTAGGCCGATGTCTTAGCTATTCCGCCGGCTAAATGAATAAATAATTTAATTCTGTTATGAAGTAAATCAATAGTTTATATTTAATACTTGTTCATCCAGTAATTTATCTCATTGTGATGAATTAAAGATAGAGAAACAACTTTATCGATAGTATTTCTGTAAATAAAGTATTAGTGTCCGATTCTCTCCAATAAATAATAATGTACTTTTATAAAATTTAATATAATAAAACCAGCAATATTTGTTATAAATATTTTTTAAATTAATTGGTTTAAATATTTATTTTCATTTATAATTTATTTATAACCATATCGTTTGTAATGTAAAATCCTATATAAGTGAAGGAATCTTCATTTTATTTTTCTGTGAATTATTTATATCGACTATCCCTTTTTTAGACTGAAACTTAGAACCACCCCCAATTAATTTTTTTGGTATTTTTTTAATTACAATTACAGTAGAGCGTCGATTATCCGAAAGTCAATCATCCGAAAGAATTCCATTCGGCAAATTTAAATTTTCGCCAGTGTTGTGGCGCTGCCTTTGGCTATGTCTTGGGCTACTCAAATATTTTACGTTTTTGATACTAAATTAACTTCTGAAGTATAATTTTTTATTGTTTTTATATTTTTCAATATATTTATTTTGTTTGTACAAAATAAAAAA